GAGGTGAAGAGTTCCGGTTTGGAGCATGTGGAGCTGCCTTTGGAGCTGAGCAGCAGCAGCACCACCACAAGGCAATCTTCCCTTGTGAATGGGGAGAGGAGGCCAAGGATGCAGACAAAGAAGAGGAGGAGGTGCAGCAAGTGAGCGAGCGTGCACCGACACTTCCTTCTCACACTACGAGTGCTCCACGGATCCGAGTCACCTCGCAGCAACGCCAAGGCCTTCATGTCCCTGCAGCTGAGGAGGAAGGAAGGGGCAAGAGGAGAATTCAAGCCCCTAATAGGCTGACCTATGAGGCATTGGGAAAGCCAGCCAAGTCAGCCTTGGCCGGAGCGGCACTTGTAGTTGGAGATGACGAGGAGAGTGACTACGACGAGTGTGCCTTCGCGTTCTTCTCTCCGGTGGAGATGCCGGGGGAACCAGTAACTCTCAAGGAGGCCTTGGAGAGTAGTGATGTTGAGGAGTGGAAGAAGGCAATGGAGAGTGAGTTGAAGAGCATTGAGGAGAACGACACATGGTAATTGGTAGAGCTACCGAAGGGGCGTAAGGCGATTACGTCCAAGTGGCTCTTCAAGATCAAGTCCGACGCCGATGGCAAAATCGAGCGCTACAAGTCTAGGCTTGTGGCAAAGGGGTACCAGCAGAAGGAGAAGATGGACTATAAGGAGTTGTTTGCTCCTGTGGTGAAGCCGACGACGCTGCGAACCCTACTCGCGGGAGCTGCCATCAAAGGATGGGTGGTGAAACAAATGGATGTCACAACGGCATTCCTCAACGGCGTCCTTGAGGAAGAGATTTTCATGGCGCAGCCAGAAGGGTTTGATGATGGTAGTGGTAGAGTTTTGAGGCTGAAGAAGGCCCTTTATAGACTGAAGCAGGCCCCTAGGGAGTGGTACTTGAAGCTGCGAGGAGTTTTGGAGGAGATCGGCTTCACTCCCTCAACGGCCGATCACTCATTGTTCATGCTTGGCGAGGGGGAGCAGAGGAGCTTCATGGTTGTGTACGTGGATGACATCCTAATTTTCTCACCCTCCTCTGATCTTGTGAAGGAGGTGATGCTGAAGCTTCAAGACAAGTTCAAGTGCAAGGCCCTTGGTGACGTGAGCTTCTACCTTGGGCTCCACATCGAACGAGATGTGGAGAAGCGGTGCATGCGGGTGCATCAACGGAAGTACCTAGAGGCATTGGCTGCCAACTTTGGGCAGAGTGAAGGCCATGTGGCTACACCCTTTCCCTCTAGGTTCAAGTGTGTGAAGGGACCAGAGGAGGAGAGCGTTGGTGAAGAGGAGAGGCGCCGTTTTCACTCGTTGGTGGGCAGCCTCATGTACGCGGCGGTAAACACCCGACCGGGTGTCGCGTTTGCTACCGGACAGTTGGCTAGGGTTGTTCAATGCCCTAATGAGGAGCAGGTAGCAGCTGGAATGAGGGTGGCCAAGTATCTTGGCCAAACACCGACCGTTGGGCTGCAATACTCGGCGGCGGCGCAAAGGCGCCAAAATGGCGCGGATGGTGTTGAACCCGGGCGTTTGTTCCTCACAGCATTCTCGGATGCTTCTTATGCTTCTGAACCAGAGGACATGACAAGTGTTGGAGGGTTTATTTGCTGTGTTGGTGGAGGCCCAACTTCTTGGGAGAGCAAGAAGCAGGTGGATCAAGCATTGAGCTCGGTGGAGTCCGAGTACATGGCACTCTTCCGTGCTGTACGGGAGATTGTGTGGCAGCGGCGTTTGTTGGCTAAATTGGGGGAGGAGCAGCAAGGACCTACCCCACTCTACTGTGATAGCCAAGGTGCGAATTCTCTTGCTAAGAACCCTGTGTTGCATGGCCTCACGAAGCACATGAGGGTGAAGTGGCATTGGACGAGGAGCATGGTGGCCGCGGGTGAAGTTGAGTTGCACTACGTGAAGACGACGGGGCAGCCAGCTGACATGATGACCAAGAGGCTGGTGGAGCAGCAGCATTGGAAGTGTTGCAAGTTGGCTGGGATGGCTCTGAACTGAGAGAGCAAGTTCCTAAGGCCAACAATCCGAGGGGGAGTTTGTTGGTGCAACCCTACGGTTTGCATTCGGCTTGTTGTCCGTATGCGTGCATGCGTGTGTACATGGAATGGTATGAGGTCATGAGATAATATATATTTCATGCTTACAATAGTGTGTGAATGATGAGGCATGGTTTTGAATGTGTGTGTCGAGTCAATAGCGAGTTATCGTTAGTCGCGTGTCACGTCGTTGCTTGCGTGTCGTGTGCGCTTTTCTATTTTGTCGTGTGTGGAACGTTCGGCGTGTCGCAGGTGTGCGCAGCAGAATTCCAAGAACTCAAGGAAGATTTTATCTTGAAGAACCAGAGCCTTGGTTTCAAGAATCAAGTGATTTCGAAGCTCTCCAAAAGGGTAAACTTTAAGATAGTGAGAATAGTTGCATTGCTTTGTGTAGTGTAACATTTCTCTTGGAATAGGCCCTTGTGGAGGGTAGTTTCGAGACCCTTCGTGGTTGGAGACAGTGTGGCACTGTTCCACATCACTGTACCTCGGCTCTTGGGGTTTGTAGGAGCTGGGAGTCATTCCCAACTCGTAACTCGTCCTAATTTTTTGTGTTCTAAATCTATAGTGGCTGCCATAGTGCCGTTCGTTCAAACCGATATTGCGTCGTCAATTCTTGATGAAATCGTGTGATTCAACCATCCTCGTGTAGGCGACATAAAAACGCTCCAGATCCAATTTATAGCAACTCGTTTGAAGCTGTGAGCAGAACGCTATCAACGCTTGAAGCCGCTGTGCAGAAATCCGACTGTGCACTCTATCTTTCGTTTTAGGCACATTCAAGGCTATTGTGACTATAACTGCGAGAAGCCATAGCGGCGCAGTACGCAGGGCGGGCAGGAGACGGGCAGCGCAGAGGGGGGAGCGAGCGGGCTGCGAGAGGGCAGTGCGAAGGCTGCAAGGGGCGGCGCACAGGTTGCAAGAGGTGGCGCGCGGGCTGCAAGGGGCAGCTGGCGGGCCAGGAGCGGGGAGTGCGCGAGTGGCAGGGGCGGCTGGCGGGCCGCTAGCGGGCTGCGCGCGGGCGGCAGGGGCGGCTGGCGGGCCGCTAGCGGGCGGCGCGCGGGCGGCGGGGGCGGCTGGCGGGCCGATAGCGGGCGGTGCGCGGGCGGCAGGGGCGGCTGGCAGGCTGCAGGGGCAGCTGGCGGGCCACTAGCAGGCTGCGCGCGGGCTGCAGGGGCAGCTGGCGGGCCGATAGCGAGCGGCGCGCGGGCGGCAGGGGCGGCTGGCGGGCCGTTAGTGAACGGCGCGCGGGCGGCAGGGGCGGCTGGCGAGTCGCTAGCAGGCGGCAGGGGCGGCTGGCGGGCCTCTAGTGAATGGCGCGCGGGCGGCAGGGGCGGCTGGCGGGCCTATAGCGGGCGACGCGCGGGCCGCACGGGCAGCTGGCGGGCCGCTAGCGGGCGGCGCGCTGGCTGCAGGGGTGGTGGGCGGGCTGCTAGCGGGCGGTGCGCGGGCTGCTAGGGGCGGCGCGCGGGTCGCAAGCGGGCGACGCGCGGGCAGCAGGGGCGGCTGGCGAGTCGCTAGCGGGCGGCGCACGGGCGGCAGGGGCGGCTGGCGGGCCGCTAGTGAACGGCGCGCGGGCGGCAGGGGCGGCTGGCAAGCCGCTAGCGGGCGGCGCGCGGGCGGCGGGGGCGGCTGGCGGGCCGATAGCGGGCGGCGCGCGGGCGGCAGGGGCGGCTGGCGGGCCGCTAGCAGGCGGCTCGCAGGCTGCAGGGGCGGCTGGCGGGCCACTAGCAGGCTGCGCGCGGGCTGCAGGGGCAGCTGGCGGGCCGATAGCGAGCGGCGCGCGCGCGGCAGGGGCGGCTGGCGGGCCGTTAGCGGGCGGCTCGCGGGCTGCAGAGGCGGCTGGCGAGTCGCTAGCAGGCGGCAGGGGCGGCTGGCGGGCCGCTAGTGAATGGCGCGCGGGCGGCATGGGCGGCTGGCGGGCCTATAGCGGGCGACGCGCGGGCCGCACGGGCGGCTGGCGGGCCGCTAGCGGGCGGCGCGTTGGCTGCAGGGGTGGCGGGCGGGCTGCTAGCGGGCGGTGCGCGGGCTGCTAGGGGCGGCGCGCGGGTCGCAAGCGGGCGACGCGCGGGCAGCAGGGGCGGCTCGAGGGTCGTGACGAGGGGGGCGGGCGGGTCGTGGGCTGCTAGGGGCAGCGCCACTAGCTTCTAGGGGCAGTTCGTGGGGCAGCTCTGTGGTGGGCCCTGAAAAACAACGGTCCTAGCGAAGGAACTGCTCTGAAACCATATCAGAAGAATGAACGAGAATGGATGAACTATGAAAAAGTTGGGTACAAGTACTAACCCTAATTGGGTTGTACCCCTTATGGGCTACCCCACTATAGCCTACACAAATGTAAGCACTATAACATTATGACAGAACGGTGAAGCGGGTAGATGCTGCAGCTGCTGCGATCGCTGGTACTTCGCCATAGCCCCTGCCATCTCGTTGAAGCCGTACTTGCCACACGAAGCGGGTCAGTATCAAACATGTATGTTCGCCATAGTAAAATAATTTCGTTCATATCATAAAAACAAAAGCAATGATAGACTTTCTGCGTAATGTAAACCCCGTAAGACTGCAGCGGGATGTCTGCAACACCTTCTTCGGCCAAGAAACCCACGAGCTTCGGGAACATGGCGATTGGAGCGTCGTGGTCACAGATGAACTCCACGCTCCGCATGAGGCGAGTGAGCCGCGCACCCTCTTTGTCGGCGTTGGCGAAATCGTCTATCCACTTCTGCTTCTCAATCTCCGCCATGAGGGTCCGCTGCCTCTTCATAGCGTCGTCGTGGCGGACGCTCAGCTCGTGACATCGCATTGAGCCGAGCTGCAGATCACGTCCCCCAGTTCTGTTCCGACCAAACTTAGCGTCGTCTTTCCCGTGCTCCACACATATGCTGCATCGCAAGATCAGCAACCCTTCCTCATTTTTATCAAGCAGCAGCCACTCAAACTTCGGTAGCCACTGCGTGATGTACAGCTACTGCGCCTTCCAGAATTTCTCCTCCGCCTTTTCGGCGCGGGTGAGTTCACGAGACACACGCGAGGGAGCTTGGACGGGGGCCGGAGGTGGAGTCGGCTTCGCAAGGGGTGTGCCGAACGGGAGATATGCTTGCGCAAATCGCCGTTTCTTCTTAGAGGCAGCAGACGAAGTCTCGTCAACCTCTGTTAGGATGACTGTGGCGGGAGCACTGTCGAGCTCAATGGCAGAGGAACCAGCTGGACGAGAAGGAGGGAATTTTTCGCCGCCGCACGATGACGGGCCTGTAGTGCAGACAGGCGGAGGGTTCTGATGCAGCCCTCGGAGAAAATCAAGGCCTGTCCGCGATGGGGCGTCATTAGGTGGTTCGTCAGCAGCTTCTCCTCCATCATCGTCCAGTGTAGCCCCATGGCTGCGGGTGTGTATCTGGCAAAACGGCAGGCTCAGTTGGAAAGCGCAATTGAGAGAGAGGTCTCTCGTGACCAAGCCGAGACCACACCACAACCGAGCTGGTGCCCCCAATCCCAATCGCACTCGTTTCCTATCGTGTTGGCAAATGAAGCAGTTGAGCCACCCACAGTTGTGCAAAGAACGTGGTGCCCAGTGGGCTAGAGGACGCCGACTTTCAGCGGTCAACCAGTCAACTTGGCATGTCAGACAACATGACCGAGTTGATACATTGGCGATGTCTACAAGAAACTGTATTTCTGGCCAATGGTGGCCCACTTCGTGCCAGCACATGTAATGTCGTGCCAAATTTTTCAATTTCGACAGTTGGCATTTGGGAATCCCGGGTTACGGGGTAGGGGGGTTAGGGGAGGAGGGGGGGGGGGGGGGGGGGGGGGAGGTTGGTACTCGCTTCTGGGTAAAACTCGCTAAGAGGAACGGCAACCCTGAGGCATCAGTGTGCCTTAATCGTAAACTCTGGCATATCAGGAAAAATCTAGCTCCCAAAAAAATTACCCTAAGGCATTAGTGTGACTACCAAAAACCACCCTGATAATCAAAGTATCAGGGTGATTTACACTGATAAAATCAGCCCTAGTCCCGATGATCTCGGGTGTTTTACAGGAAGGACGCGGAATCTGCATTCAGTGTACACGTTCGATGAAGGCTGAAAAATCAGTCCCCTTCCATAAAAAAAAGGCTGAAATTTCAGGGTTACAAAATAAAAAAGGCTGAAAGTTCAGGGTTGGTACAGAAAAAAAGGCTGAAAATCAGTCAAATCAGGGTAAAAAGCCCGATATCTGAGGGCCTGGTCCACACGCTTTTCAGTAGACGGTTGAGTGAGTTTTAGCTGGATATTGAACAGTTAGATTGCTTCATCCATAAAAAAAAAACACCTACTTGAGTGAACATTGATACATCCATATTAGCACTTAGACTTGCCCCCTGATATACCCAAATTTAGCAATGCTCTGAAAATGTCAAGCCTACACTGTATTATTGTAAACAAGCGTTCTGACAAGCATTCTCGCATTGGCCATAACCTCCTTGAACTCCCTCCGATCTACCCTCGTAATGCTCTGATCACGCGCGCACGCCACACACTCGTGAATATTCCAGCACTGCTCCTCGGGCAGGTGCGTGAACCCCCCATCCTTCATGCAGGAGTTTCGGAAGAAAGCGCTGATGTCGTGTATGTTGCGCCAGGCGAGGTAGTGCACGCCGGAGCGCATGGCGAGCTTCTTGTAGAGCGTGCTGAGGAACTTGTAGGGGAACAGCTCCACCACCACGGAGCCCCGCGGCATGAAGAGTGCCGTGGTGAGTGGCGTGCCGTGCAGGGATATCAGCACCAGGGTGTTCTAAGAAAGGGATGGGAAAGGGGGAGAGGGGAGGGCGAGAGAGGGGGGGGGATGGGGGAAAGGGAGAGTGGGGGTTGGAGTTGGTGTACAGACAGGCTGCTCGAATCATGTGGTTGCAGATGGAGGAGGCGCAAAAAGGTGGGACGGAGGTCAAATGCAGCCTGGCGGTGTGCTGCTTCAGGTCCCGCAAGAGCCTCACGTGAAACACATGGGTACTGACCCAGGCCCCCACCTCCCGTGCCCACTCTCCTACTCCTTTTCCCAGCACATTTCCCAACCTCTCCTTCTCCTTTCAATCCTCTGCCAGTGACCACAACCGCCCCCCAAAAGCACCACCTCCAGCAGCAGCGCGTGGTCCAAGGGGCCTCCTTGCAAAGCTCCTCACACCACACCCTTCCCATGCCCCTCTCCCTCTTACCCCCCACCCCACCTTGAGCAGCAGTGCATGGTCAGAGGCAGAGGCCTTGCCGACCCGGGCGATAAGCAGAGGCATCTCGGGGAAGAGAGCATGTGCCACGCGCGCCACCTCCTGCCCGTTCATCACCGACCGCCCCCTCTCGCGCTCCAGCACCGTCACCTGCCACCTCATGCGCCGCGGGGCGGGGGGCACCTGGGCGGGACAGGAGATGGGAGGCGGACAGGGGGGCATTGGTGAGGCGAGGGGCATGGAGGGGAGAGCACCGTTGCTCCCGGTCCAGCAGCGCCAGCTGCCAGCGCATGCACCGAGGGGCTCATGGCACCTGGATTGAGTCGCAGGGAGACACAGATGGGACGAGGAAAACTCGGCAGGAGCATGGGGTGAGGGGACGTGCAGACTAACCCTGCTTCCGCTCCAGCACCATCACCTGCCAGCGCATGCACTGCGGGGCGAGGGGCACCGAGAGAGGGATGGGAGGAGAACATAGCGGGAGCATGGGATGGGTGGGTATGCAGACTAATCCGCTCGTGGCTCCAACAGCATGTGGCGCCATGCCTGTTGACACCAGGCACCTGAGATTGAGTCACGCGACGACATGGATGGGAGGAGAACACAACAGGAGTGTGGGACGATTGATGTGCAGTGCCGACTGCATCCTACCTCGCTCCGGCACCATCACCTGCCACCTCATGCGCTGTGGGGCAGAGGAGACCTGGGGAGGTCGCGGAGGAGCAGGCAGGAAGAGGAGGGGGAGAGAGGGTGGGGGAGGGCAGGCAGCGCCTGACACCCCGTGCACAAAGGGGTTGGGTGCACAAGAGGGGTGTGCACAAGAGGGGTGTGCAAGGGCGGCGACCGGAGGGAGTGGCAGAGCATGGGGCCGTGGGGTGAGGAAACATGCAGGTTGGCCTCTCCTTCCTTGCGCCACACAAACTCGCTTTCTCTCCCACACCACACCGCACCTGCTGCTTTTCCTCACCTGCTGTCTTCCCCCCACCGTTGCATCGCACATGCACCAATGCGACATGCACCAATGCGACATGACGAACCTGCTGCTCCCACAAACTGCCACCCCTCTCCGGCATTCTCCCCACACCCCTCTCCCCCATTCTCCCCACACCCCTCTCCCCCATTCTCCTCACACCCCTCTCCCCCATTCTCCCCACACCCCTCTCCCCCATTCTCCCCACACCCCTCTCCCCCATTCTCCCCTCACCCCTCTCCTCCCTTCTCCTCACACCCCTCTTCCCCCACCTATCTCCCGCCACCCCTCTCCCCGCCACCCCTCTCCACTCCACCAACCTGGGATCCAGGCGTGGCTGGCACGGGCGGCAGGCTGCGGCTGGTGCGCAGCACTTTCACGCGCACCACACCCGACTGACGCGCCTTGCCGCCCTTGCCCTTGCCGCGCCCCCCTGCGCCCAGCAGCGCCCACTGCCTCAGCGTGTCCGCTGCCTGCGGCGTGTGCAGGCGATTCAGTGGGAAGAGCACGTTGCGGAAACACACCTGGCGGACAGAGAGGTGGGGCGAGCAGGGGAGCGGAGGGGGCGGCAGGGGCGAGCAGGGCATGGAGAAGGGGCGAGCAGGGCATGGAGAAGGGGGGGGGGGGGGAAGGCACAGCAGTGCGGAGGGAAAGGGTGGGAGCGGGAGAGGAAGGAAGGGCAGTGGCGTGACTGGGTACAGGCGGGTTTGGTGGGAGCGGAGCGGAGGGGGGTTGCTGAGGGACCAATCCAATCTATCATGGAACCGCTGAGCTTCTACTACTGATTTGGTTTCGGGGCAAGCAGGGGGAACACGCTCTTGGAGAATGGGGTTGGAAAGAAGAGGGGCGGGGATGGGAGGTGGAGGGGCGAGGCAGGAAAAGGATTAAGGGAATGGAATGGGGTTGCAGACAAGGGCAGTGGCGGGAGAGTGTGCGGAGGCAGTTCGTGGGGAGGAGGGTGATGTGAAATCATACGTGCATGGAGGGGTGGTTTTTGTGCTTGTCAGCCCCTGTCCCTCACCTGTTCCCTCCCCTCACACACTTTGAACCGTCACTCTCACTCACCTTCTGCCCCACCCACCTTTCACCTCCTGCCCCTCACCTCCTGTCTCTCACCTCGAGGCCGGGCGAGTGCCCCAGCAGCAGCTGAGCCTTGGGGCCGAAGAGGATGTGCGCCATGTCAGCCGTCCACGCGCTGCGCACCTCGTGCTCCCCCGGAAAGAACACCACGCGCCCCTCCCCCCTCGTGTCCTTGGATGGGTCCGACGGGGGCGCGCGCACCAGGTGCACTGAGGGGGAAGGATGGGTGGATGGGGGAGTGGGGAGGGTTGGTGGAGGAAAGGAGCGAGGAGGATTGCAGGGGCAGGGGAAGGAATGGGGAAGGGGGGTTGCAGGGGCGGGGGAAGGAATGGGGAAGGGGGGTTGCAGGGGCGGCGGCCTGCAATCACCAGCGGCCTGCACTCACCAGCGGCCTGCATGAGAGGCACCACGGCCTCGCCGAAATCCCCCATGTACGTGTTATGTCGCGGCACATACCCCACCTTCTCCACGCGCCCCCCTTTCGGCCCCTTGGCCATCCGCGCCCTACTGGCAGCGTCACTGAGGTTGAGGTAGCGCGCAACCGCATGGGCGCTCTCGAAGCGGCCGTACACGCGGTTCTCCCGGCGCTTGATGTCCGTCATGTCGTGCAACTCCTCGTCAAACTCGTCTGTGAACCCCACGGCCTGGTTCTCGAATCCTGATAAGACCACGGGTGCTGCTGCCTGCTGTTGCTGCTGCTGCTGCTGCTGGGGTGTCGCTGGTGTTGATTGGGTGGCTGAAGAGGCGGTTTTTTTAGGGTGGGAAGGGACAGGGTTGTGAGGTTTGGCGGGTTTTTGCTGGGATGCGGACAGGAGGCGTCGCCTCTTGTCCATGTGGGTCCCCCTCTCCTCCCCCTCCTCCCCCTCATCAGCTGAGTACCCAACCCGACCGCTGTCCCTCCAATCCCCCTCCTCCTCCTCCTCCTTCCGCTCCACCCTCCCACCATACCTCTCCTTCCCCACCCCACTCCCCTTCCTCCCCCCTCCCGCACCCCCCTTCCGCCCATCCACTCCCCCCACTCCCCCTTCCTCCTCCTGCTCCACCCCACTCAACCGCACCACATCCCTCCCAACAGTGGCCTCTCTGTGCGTGGCAGCGCGCGCCTCGCGGGGCGAGAGGGAGCGCCAGGAGCGGTCCTGGTGGTCGGCGAGGGCGTCGGGGAAGAGCGAGCAGAGGTCGTTGGAGGTGCTGATGCGCTTGAAGTCGCGCACGCCCTCGTCCGAATACCACATGCCCGCCATTGGCGCGTGCAGGCGCGATGGGCCTGGGGGAGTGGAAAGGGGAAGGGGCGAGCGGGGTGGGGGACGGATGGGAGAGCTCAGAGCAGAGGTGGCTGGACGTGCTGATGCGCTTGAGTGCACACCCTCGTCTGCGTACCACATGCCCGCTGATGAGGTATGGCGGGGCGATGGGCCTGAGAGGTGGGGAGAGAAGTGGGGGAGAGTGCAGTGCAGAGGGTGGTGAAAGAGTGGAGTAGCGCTCACCCTCGTCCAAATACCACATGCCTGCTCGTGGCACGTGCAGGCGAGACAGCCTGAGAGGAAAAGGTGGAGGGCGAGAGGGAGTGGCCTGGTAGAGTGAGTGAAGTCGCGCACGCCCTCGTCTGAATACCACATGCCTGCTGATGGCGCGTGCAGTGCAGGCATGATGGGCCTGGGGGAGAGGGGTGGGAAGGGGAGGGGAGCAGGGGAGCGGGAAAGTAAAGGCAAACTCTTGTCTGAGTACCACATGCCCGCTGATGCTGTTTGCAGGCGCGATGGGCCTGGGGAAGGGAGGGTGGGTGGGTGGGGAGGCAGGGGGTGGGAATGGGAGAGTGGGGCACGGGAGATGGTGATGGAGTGAAGTCGCACACGCCCCCGTCTGAGTACCACATGCCCGCTGATGCTGTGTGCAGGCGCGATGGGCCTGGGAGCAGGAGGTGGGGTGGGGGATTTGGGGGGAAAGGGGAGTGCGGGTGTTGCTGATGGAGTGGAACTCAAAGCACGCCCGCTCTCGTCCGCCCACCACATACCTTGCCTTGCCTTGCCCGCAGCTGGCACATGCAGGCGCGACGAGCCTGCGGGAGGGGGTGGTGAGACAGTGGGTATGATGGTGAGACAGTGGGTATGATGGTGAGACAGTGGGTATGATGGTGATGATAAGCGCTAGAGGTGCTTCATTGGCCGGGAACCACCATGCATGCACCTGTAAAGTGAACCACCATGCATGCACCTGTAATGTGAACCACCATGCATGCACCTGTAATGTGAACCACCATGCATGCACCTGTAATGTGAACCACCATGCATGCACCTGTAATGTGAACCACCATGCATGCACCTGTAATGTGCACCACCATGCATGCACCTGTAATGTGCACCACCATGCATGCACCTGTAATGTGAACCACCATGCATGCACCTGTAATGTGAACCACCATGCATGCACCTGTAATGTGCACCACCATGCATGCACCTGTAATGTGCACGAGTGACGGCGCACCTGTTGTGTGCCATGTGGCTGGTACCCACCTGTCACGTGCCACGTGGCACCCACCCACCCGTCATGTGCCACGTCACGTGGCACCCACGCACCTGTCATGTGCCACGTGGCACCCACCCACCTGTCATGTGCCACGTGGCACCGCACACCCGTCATGTGCCACGTCACATGGCACCACCCACCTGTCATGTGCACGTAGCAGGCGTCTTGGATGAGCAGCACACATGCGAAGTCGTCGGGCTGCTGCAGCAGGAACACCCCCGGCATGAGTGAAAACGACCTCACATCCCACTTGCCCCTCTGCCATGCCATGTGGGAACACATGTGAGGGGTGGGAGGGATGCATGGGGACGATGGGGCAGGGTGAGGCGAGAGGCGGGGGAGTGGGAGCAACGCATGTGGGAGCAAGTTGAGGGCAGCAGCAACACCCCCAGCATGAGCGAGAACGACCCCATGTCCCACTTGCCCCTCTGCCCTTCCATGCACGTGGGGGGCATGTCGGGGGTGGATGGGGGCAAGGAGGCGATAGGGCGCAGGGAGGGGCGAGGAGGCGATAGGGCGCAGGGAGGGGCGAGGAGACGCAGGCAGAGGCACGGGGGAGCAGGGAAGGCGAGGCCGAGTATGTGCGGGCAAGGCATGTGCGGGCAAGTGTCGTGAAGTAGCTCCCCTCCGTCTGCTCTTCTGATTGTTCTTCTCTTCCCCCTTCTCATATTCCCCTTTTTCTTCCTGACAGGTACCTTCCACCTCTTCTCTCACCCTCAACCTCTCATGCCTGCTTGCCTGCCCCAGTGCCGCCTGTCTGCCTCTTCTTTCTCCTGGTGTATGTGATGATGCCGCTCCTGCCTTCTTCCTGCTTCTCAGGCTGCACTGCCCTCACTGCACTGCTCCAAGTCCCCTTGAGCCTTCAGTTGCTCCCCCAGATTCTTCCCAATCAGCACACTCTGCGCCCCAGTGTCCACCACCGCATTATCCACCCGTATGCCTCTTACTGCCACAGCCCCCGGTTCGGCTACCAACGCTGTAGGCTGACACACCATCCTCTCCTCAGGCCGTCGCCGTGCTGTCCGCTTCTCATCTCCACTCTGTTGTATCTTAGGGCCTCTCCTCTCGTAGGTCTTGTCGTTGGTTCTGCCGTCTACCCCTTTGCTCCTCAGCCCCAACTCTTCCCGAGGTCTAGGTTGCAATGCCATCGTACCATACTCCGGTTCCTCTTCATCTGATTCCTCTTCGTCTTCTTCCCAGGCTAGCAACGCTTTCTCTGGATCCTCACTGACCTGAGTCTTCTCCATCTGTGCCTTTAATTTCGCCAGCTCCTTTTCCAGCTGCAGCTCCCTTGTGGACTTCCCTTTCTCCCTCTCTCCTCGGCTGTAACACCTTTCTCTCGTGTGTCCCTTCTTGCCGCAGTTGGTGCAGGTGGGAGCCTTGGGGCAATCTCGCCTGAAGTGCCCCTCCACGCCACAGGTGTCGCATACAATGCCCACTGTGCAGTCCTTCCGTATATGCCCTTTTTCCCCACACTTATGGCACCGCCTTGGGTCTTCCCAGGGCTTCTCTCTACGCTCTTCCTCCCCCCTCTTTCCTTCAGCTGCTGCCCAGGCAGGTCTCCTTCGCTCGTTTGCGCGGCTGGAGCTTGCTCCTCTCAAGCCTTCAAAGAACCTCCGCCCTTCCTCCACTTCTTTCGCCACTTGATACACCTGCCTGAGTCTCGCCTTCATCCCCAAAGCGTACAGAAGCGTTTTCATTTCGTTCATCAGCTCCTCCTCCAGCCCCCCCAGGAATTTCGTCACCAAGGTACGTTCCTCAAGGCAGCCCATATCCTCAGCCAGCTCCAGCAGCCGGTTGTAGTATGCCAACAACGACTCGGCCCGTCCCCTTTTAAAGTCTTGAAACTCTATCATACGCTCAGCTGAGTGCCCGGGGAACTGCTCGCGCAGCGTGTCCAAAAATCTGTCCGTGATCGAAGTCCCCATTCTTGCACTGCATCAACAGCCCCTGTCGCTCCACTCTGTGGTGTGTCAGTGCCTCCCCCTTCAGTGTCCTTCCCAGTCCTCTAAAAAATTCTATCGGATCTAACCCCTCTCTCTCCCAGGTGTACCGTATATCATCAATCATCATAAGGTAGTTCTTCAGTGTTGGCTCTTCACCTGGTGCCCCTGAGAAGCGGTCTGGTATTTCGATCTTTGGAGGCGCCGTGTTCATAGATTTCCCCGTCCCCCAGCTTGCAGCTTCCCTCTCTCTGCCTCCTGCAGGCCAACCCCCTTGCTCGGGCCCCCTGGTGGCATTGCGCCCTCCGGAGAGACCACGGAAATTCTCCTCTCTGAAGTTCTGCTCTGCTTCCCGTCTGTGCGCATCGCCGCGCTCAGGCGTTCCTTGCTGCGATCCCTCCTGCCCAGATCTCGCCTCGCTATGTCGTCCTGGCGAGTTGTGCACCGAGCTAGGCAATTTCTCCTGGCAATTCGCACCCTCCTTCGGCAGATCAGGGTCCTTTCCTCCCTGCGTTTCGTTAACTCCTCCATCTGCACGAAATCCAGGCTTCACCGGCGGCTGTCCCTGACCTTCCATAGTCCTAGCGGGATACCTCTGTCCCTGACCTTCCATAGTCCTAGCGGGATACCTCTGTCCCGACCGCAACTGATGGATGTGTAGATCTGGATCAGTATCATTCATGCCCCACGGCCCCAACTCCGTGGCTAACACCGGGCCTCTGCGCTCGTACGCTCCTCTACCAGCCCCTTTTTGCTTGTTTGCAACAAGACTAAATTCTCTCCCTCGCAAGGGCTCCGTCAGTTTGCCTGAGCTTCTCTTAACTGCTTGCCTCCGTGGTTTTTGGAAAACGAATTGCAGTATTACGAGAAACAAACAAGCAAAAAGCACGGAGCAGGTATCCTCCCCTGCCTAAGTCCCAACCATCCTTCTGCCTAGGTTGCTTGTCCCACAAGCTAACTCTAGTTGGCAAGTCACGTAGCAGCAGTGCTGCTCGAGATAGCTTCTAGGTGCTAGCTGGGTCCCAGTGGCCCACTAGGCATGCACCGACTTCCAGCTGGAATTGCATTCTCTGAATCGAATTCGCCCCTGCCCCCACCAATTTCCTTGAGGTTCCACACCCTGCTCGGCTCCATATATGTACAGTACATTCCAAGCACACAAACGAAAGTACGAGTACAAGAAACAAACAGCAATATAGTACAACCTCACCTTAAGCTGCTGTGCAATTCACACTTAGCCGCAGGCTAAGAGAGGCTTGAAACGTACGAGGGAGAGGAGGAAGGACGTACGAGGGAGAGGAGGAAGGACGTACGAGGGAGAGCAGGAAGGACGTACGAGGGAGAGCAGGAAGGACGTACGAGGGAGAGCAGGAAGGAGTTGTCGGTGGCGTTCCAGGGCACCTTGCTGGCCGCCAGCCCCGGTGCGATGTGGAACAGCCGCCCGTTCACCGTCTCCCGCGCCCTCACTGCCAAGCTCAAGTGCGCCCCCACGCCCCTCCCCATGCCCGCCCCCCCCTCCGCCTGCACCGGATTGCTGCCTGCCCCGCCCCCTGCGTGCGTGCTGGGAGGGAGAGAGGAGGAAGGGTGGTAATGAGAATGGGGAGGGGAGGTGGTGGGGAGGGAGATGGGTGGGAGAGGCACCATGGGACTATTGCCCGCCACGCCCCCTGCATGCGTGCTGGGGATGGGTGGGTGGGAGAGGCACCATGGGGCTGTTCATGGCGCGGTGGCATGCAATGCAATGCGGTGACAAGCAGCAGAGGTGGCAAGGCGCAGCACACCAAGCAGCGCGTACGGCCTGCCAGCTCATGCCAGCGCATGCCAGCTCATGCCAGCTCATGCCAGTGCACGCCAGCTCATGCCATTGCACGCCAGCTCATGCCAGCTCATTTCAGCTCATGCCAGCTCATGCCAGCTCATGCCAGTGCACGCCAGCGCCGTACCGTGCGCGGGCGGGGGGGTCGCTGGAGAGCGCGGCGTGGTGCGCCATGGCGCGCTCCTGCGGTCCGCTGCGCAGGCGGATGTCGGCGGAGGCGGCGGAGAGGGAGCGCGAGGAGAGGCCGGACTGGAAGAAGAGGTAGATGGTCGACAGGTTCAGCAGCAGCAGCAGCACCGCCACCACCGCCACGTTCGACACCACCGCGCCCCCGCCCGCCCTCTCCGTACCCACCGGCCCGCTTCCCCCCACCCCATGGCCTGCGTGTGCGCTGTGCCCCGCGTGCGCGGGGCCGCCGTGGAAGTGGCTGCCGGCGGCGAGCGCGAACTCACGGGAGAGCGCCGCGGGGGAGAAGGCGGCGACCGGGGAGGCGACGCCGCCGGTGGCGGCGACCGCGCGGAAGACGGCGGCTTGCGGGCTGGCGTGCTTGCCGCTGGCGAGCGGGGAGCCACGTGGATGGTCGAGATCGCTCAGGTGGTCGATCGCACGGCGCTCCGCGATCCTGATGGGCGGCACGTCGTCTGCGACGACCACGAGCGGCGTCGACCCCGCCGCGTGCTTCAGCCGCCCCGCGATCGGCCGCTGCATGGCGCGGAGCGGACGCGAACTATAATGGCGGCTGCCGCCGCATTCGCGAGGCCTGGCGCGGGGCGACGAGTGGCGCGGGCAGAGGCAGGTATTGCACTGATAGAGAAAACGAGAACGTTAATGTGAGAGAGGTCGATAACGATTGAGGTAGCGGATCTAGTACCAAATGTGAGAGAGGTCGCAGCCGCTGGACGGGCGGAGAAGGAATGAGTGGTGGAGGGAGGGGCAGGAAGCGGCAGACGCGCTGAAAGGATTGCGCATGTTGAAGGAATATATTAGAGAGCGTAGCGATAACGAGAGAGTTTCTGCTATAAGAATGATGTTGCGCCAGCAACTTGGTAGAGTTTCGGTAGAGTATGCCTCTAAGGACTTAGTGAGGATTGGATTGAAGTAGCCTTTGGGCCAAGTAGAATTGCAATATCAATTATGAATACAAAAGCAAACACACAACTAGATATAGGCTACAGGAAGGTTTCACAAAGTTGGCGTGGCGCTGCGCAGTAACCCAACCCCACGAAAGTGGTGTGTGGGTGAGCGAACGCGCCTCGTCAACTTCCCAACCCAACTCAGCAGGGAAGTCAATGCCGAGCTCGCCAATTCTCCCAGCACAACTAGAAATGGCGAGACTCACAGAGAATCACCCACAACCACCAAGACCACCCAAGAAGCATGCCCACGATTTCCCTAGACTAACACCACCCCAGCAATGACTGTTTAGTGCTGCCGTTGTCACATCGCGTCACTACGCAACCATTGCCATATCATAGGGTCGGTGCTGGACTGCTCGTCTTGGTCTTTCATAGTCGACCTGCCAAGTCAAACGGTCGTCGAGAGCCCTTGCTGTCGTAGGGCCCTCTAACACTCCCCTGCCATACTACAGCAAGGGCCTTTATAATCACAGGGCATGCATACACGCATACACGCAAAAACAAAGGGAAACACACACAAACGAAGCACTCTCAAAGTGCAAACACGCACCGCACCAGCCATGGATAGGCCATGGCACCATCCACATCATGGAGTGTCTAGGTCTCACTCCCCTCGCTCGAGCGCCTCACCTGCCCCACAGCCTCGAAGCAACGGCTGAAGGCGGGGAAATGCAACGCCTTGGTAAGGTAGTCAGCAGGGTGCTCGCTCGTAGGGATGTACTGCAGCTGCAGCTTCCTGCGCTTGACCATGTGCTGCAGCCACATGTGACGACGCTCCATGTGCTTGAGGCTCCCCTTGAGCCCCATGCCACCTGCCACTGAAATGGCAGAGGAGCTGTCTACAAAAAGAGTAGTGGCCTCCTCACTCCTCAGCAGTTGAAACTCAGCCAGTAGGAAGCGCAGCCTGCGCGCCTCCTTCCCAGCCTCCACAGCAGCAACATACTCAGACTCAGTGGAGGAGAGGGTGGCGCAACGAATCCTCTGGCTCGCCCAAGAGACAGCAGCACCCCCGAGGCACGAACCCTGAAATCTTATAACTAGACTCAGAGTAGTGTACTTGCGGACTATGTCTATGCAGAGTATGCGTTCGGTGGACCCTGAATGCGAGGGTATTGGGACGAAGGTTCCTCAAAGTTTCCTTTCGATAACCCCCCCCCTTGTGCGTAATCATTACTTCGCGTGGCCCCATGTGAGGTACCCCGTTCACGCGGTGGACTGACGTAATAACGACACCGAATTCCAACACCGTGCTGTAAAGACAGCTGTCAACAGTGACAACGCACCCAAATCTATGATACGTTGCTGCCATGCGCACCTCGCAGTGCACAGCATGCCTCTGCCATTCGCCAGAACGGCATGTTGACAGTATGCGCTGGCAGCTAAGCAGTCCTTGAATGAATTCGGCCTTGCATCTACGGCCGAATTCATTGACGAATGTTGCCATCAACCTTGTGGCATCACGCCGCGGTGGTTTCGTGATGACCCCGCCATCTCCAACCTTCCTTTCCTTCCCCCTACCCAGAGCCAGGCTTCCTTCGCTTCCCGCTTTTCGTTCAGTATCACACTTTCCTCTCGCTCCATCTTTCCCCTAGCTCGCCGCCATGGAGGCCCTGCCGGCCGACGAAGATGCTCCTCAGACTGGCCCTGACGAGCCACCTTTACCGGCAAAACCAACAGCGCAAGCCTTGCCGGAGAAAGCATCAGATGATCCCCGGTCTGGGCTCGATTTTCTTAGAGCTACCGGTGCTCCGGTGACACCAGAACCTCCTAGGTCTACGGTTCATGACTCTGCTGCTAGAGTAACCCCTACTCCTTCTGATTCTCCACATCCTGTCGCCTTCACTCTACCCCCGGCTGTTGCTTCTTGCAGCAAAGATCCCCCACCGCCATTGCCTAGCCCCACTCCAAGCACGGTGCGTGTGTCTGTTGGCCCGCCGTCGGCTTCTTCCACTCCCAAGCGAGCGCGAAATGGGAAGTGGGCGCAGAGTACTCTGGTCGTCGGAGGCCGCCGTATTCCACCGCCTGACAATGACAAAGAAGCTGAGCAACCGGAGGAAGTTGACATCCCTGTGCGCGCGGATACCGGCTCGCCCGCACTCACCAAGATGCAGCTGCGAGAGCAGGTGTACCTTGAGGCGAGTATTAACTACGAGACGAAGTGGTCGCAACACTTTTCCTGGCTGGTGTTTGGGAAGACCAAGGACGGTTTTCCATACGTGAAGTGCTCCATCTGCATGTCGTACGCGAAGGGGAACACGAGGTACGCCATGCAAGGTGACGACGGTGGCCGTGACTTGCAGACACAGTCGTTCAGGGCGCACGAGCATACGGACGCACACAAGGCGGCGGTGGATCGGCAGTTGAAGCTTGCGGCGGGCATCCGCGAGGGCCAGCAGGCGATTTTTGACTTCATCAACTCCGACGTCGAGGGGCGGCGCGCGATTCGTCTCATGCGGTCTACGCAGTTCCTGTGCCAGTGCGACGCGCCGATTAGCATGTTTCCGAAGCTGATGCGGCATCTTGCGGAGCAGGACACGCCAGACATTCCTCGACAATCTTACGGCATGTATCTGACACGGTATTTAATCTTACCGTTAGATTGCAGCTGGACATATGTGACATGTGGTTTTTTTATCACGATCCTGACCATTTTATTCTCCTCTGTGCAGATACGGGTTCCAACAAATGGTTCACAGCATCAGTACATACCTCACTCGGGTCCAGATGGACCACATCCTGGCATCCCCCTTCCTGGGCATTCAGTGCGACGAGAGCACAGACCGAACGCGAGGGAAACACATGATTGTGTACCTTACGTTTTTTAAGAATCGCCAAATCGCATGCGAGTTCTTTACATTGCTGACGGTTGAGCGGTGTGATGCAGGGTCTCTGTTCGAGGTGCTTCTGAACCATCTCCGCTCCGCAGCCGTCGATGTGTCCAAGATCGTCGGCATCAGCACGGATGGGGCGTCGGTCATGACCGGGAAAGAAAACGGATTGGTGGCGCGTCTTCGGGAACACGTTCCGCACCTGTTTTCATGCCACTGCATCGCCCACCGGTGTGTATCAAGTTTCCTAGTTGGTGTGGTTTTCTATGTATAAGATTAACCAATTACCTCTTGATTTGTATTCCCTGCATCCTACAGTGAGGCGTTGGCTGTGAAGGACGCCGCTGAGTCAAACGAGGACCTTGGCATGGTCGACAAGGTGGTGCGCACAGTGGCGACGCTTCTCGGAAACTCAAGCGTGTGGAGTCAGTGCTTCAAGTACCTTCAGCGAGTGATCTACCAGACAAACCTCGAGGTCCAAGAAATCCACACGGTTCGATGGCTGTCACGAGGTGATGCGGTGCGAAGGCTGTGCAAGGTCCTCGGCGCTTGCATCGTGCTGCTCTGGGAGCACAACCACAAGGCCTACGAGATTGTGACGTGCTACAAGTTCCAGTTCTGTTTGTTTTTCCTGGCCGACATTCTGGCCGACATGAACGACCTCAACCGCTGCTTCCAGAGGCGTGAGGTGAGATTGAATGCTAGTATAATGTTGAGATGGGAAGTGTAATCCTACACTTTTGCTAATCCTACTCCTTGTTGTTGATTGCATGTGTGACGGCTGGATGTGACTGAGATTTCGAAGACTATTGAGTCCACCACGGGTGACCTGACAGAGCGCTACTTGACGACAAACAAACCGTTCGGGGGCGAGGGGAAGAGCTGGCTGGTAAACTTCCTCAAGGTCCACAAGGAGGGTGGAGGCAAGCAGGTCTGGGTTCAAGGCGTGGACAGAGAGGGACGCCCAATCAACCACCTCTACACCATGCATGAGAGGAAGCTGAAGGGCCACAAGCAGGGAAGCACCTACGCAGACTGCGTGAAGCTGTGCCGCCAATTTGCCCGCGACTGCGTGGACAACCTGAACGAACGGCTGGATGACATTGGGAAGCTGGGCCCGAGGAAGCTGTTCCGGGCGGGGAAGTGGCCGAAGATCAAGGCCCAGCGAGAGAAGAAGTGCAAGGAGTGGCTACACGGATGCAGCAGGCTCTTCCGCCACAGGCTGCCGGGATTCGACCTCAAAGCAGCAGAGAGGGAGCTCCCGACATTCTGCGCGATCATGGAGTCACACCATGAGATGGAGAGCTTTGCCCAGGGCCTTAACAACTTTCTTGGGAGCGTAGACTCAAAGAGGTAGGCCACTGCATGCGTACGAGTTTTTTACCTATTTGATTTTTATGTTGGTGATTATTAACATGTTGAATTCCAACTTGTTGATTTATTAACTTGTTGATACTTTTACATGTTTTGTTGTGTTTCGAATGTGCCTGGCAGGAGATGGCCCAACCTCATCCTGCTGTGGCAGGCGCTGGCTGTGCTTCCCCTCTCCACCGTGGAGTGCGAGAGGGGGTTCTCCAGGCAGAACATCATCAAGTCCTGGGTGCGTGGAGCGCTCTGCAACGCGCGTCTGGGGGAGCTGATGCAGATATCGCTCCTGAAGTACGAGATGGAATGGCCGGAGGCACTGGAGGTGTGGAGGTCCATGCGGAGGAGGCGCCCTGTGAAGAGCCTGAAGTTGGCCGTG